AAGCATACATATCAAGTTACTAATTTAAATTCTACTAAATGAATTGTCATTGTATAACTTGTAAGTGTAATAATTGGTTTTTCGTCTTAGCGACCTATTTATGGTGCAAGTAGATTCATGGATTCAAATTTAGATCAGCTCTTAATGGGTGTAACAATTACCAAGGAGTGGTATTCAGCAACTATTAATCTTTTAAATAAAACACTTTTAACGGTTTAATACGCGTAATATATTATTTCAACCGATTATCCGAAATGTTGTTAAAATAAATTAACTTTATATATTTCGCGCTTTAAACCATTCAAAGTGTTTTCTACTTTCGTAAACTACATACAGCACGTTTTACTATAAATCTAACAAAAGTTGCTTTGCGTAATTTAAGACAAAAAGTGATTATTGAAGTCTATAAATATGCAAAACAACTAACGTATCAACGTTGATTGATGCATGCATTCGATTGTGTAATCGGAGTAATTAATACAGACAGTTACATACAATACTTATAGGCACTTGTTTTATAACCCGATTACAGTAACATTACTTGTTCTGGTTTGATTTTACTGAACACGCCCATTTCTCATCTATCAATGTAATTAATGAAAAACGATTCATTTCACCTAGCTTAAAATGTACAATATCATTAAATTATACTAGTAAGTATTTATGTTTGGGCAATTTGTGTTTTTGCGAACTGCTCGTAGAACATCAGCGGTTTTCGAGGATCACATTTCCATAAATTATGTTATTTTGTATATAACGCATGAAGGAAATATTAGATGGAATATTTAAGTAATTTTTTTCCAAAGTATTTCGTGTGTGTGTGTGTGTGTACCTATCGTGTATTGTGTATTTCGCTCTTCAACCATCACTATGGCACACTGAGAAATGTAAAACCTATTTTACAAAACTTTGAAATCCCGTTTCCCCCTCGTGAGGCATGGGGCGAACACATTTCTGAGTCCGTTTCACTGATGCGCTCTTTAACAGGCAAGTAGTTGATCAGACTTCTGTGCCCTGGCTGACCGAACCCAGGACCTCTCAGAATATTTTAACCATTTGGCTACAGATGCGGTCAAAACAAACAAAACTATAATAAAACTATATATATTTATATTAATGGCACAACTCAGATACACGCTTTCACCACCATTCAACCAGATAATATTAGATAAAAAAAAATCGCATGTCTACCATCTTGTTGATATTCTAGCAACTAATTAGTACCGAATTAAAAATGTTGTCGGAATCGTCATTTGATTTTAGATGGGATATTAATATTGATGAAACGAACAATCTATTCCGCGAGCAAATTCAAAGGTCGTTCTAATAAATTAATTCGAAATGTCAAATTGTGACCCCTTTGCGTAATCCATCTTAAGATATCTTTCATCTCCGGGTTATTTATATTAAAAAAACACTCTTCGTGTCCCACCGCCAAGGTAGCAATAAATTATCATAATATAAGCCCACAGGCACGATTTTGGCAACACACGAATGTCACTGAAATAAAGTATAATAAAATTGGACGGGGTCGTTGATGCTATGGCAGAAATGTTTGGTAGAACACCAACGGGTCTTGGACTCACTTCCGGTCGAGTCAAACGTGTTTTTTAATCTCTTTTTTCATTTATTTCATATTATACTAGCTATTTACGCCTAATAATAATTACTGTCGTGTTTTTAGATTTTAGATTACATAGATATAAAAGATTACACACAATTATATAATATTAATTGAAACCTTTGCGACTCCATCAATTTATACCAAGCATACCCGATATTTTTAATAATAATAAAACAACGTAAAGTTACCTCAAGCATATTACCATAATAAATTCAAAGTTTTACTCGTAGCGTCTACAGCGAACAGGTTTACTTAACAGTTTTATTACAAGTGTTGATATTATACTTAAACGTTTGTATATGTTAAAACAAAAGTAGTAAGAGTAAAGCGCAATTTTAGGACAATGAAGAGTATTCTATATTAAAAAACACATTTAAAGTACTAAGCGAATAAAGAGAAATAATAGAAATTTTAATATTCAAAAGACTAGTCGAGTTCAATGCTTGTAATATAAATACTTACATACACAATACAATATAATATTACGCTTATATAAACTAGTATATAAGTATTTAACTAACAGACACAGTGTTGCTTAAACATTTTAGACAAAAATAATTTTGTTGTCTGTATCCTAATATTTGTGTATGTCATAGCTACAACAGACATCTATAATATTGGTCTCTGTAAGCGATATTTGAATATGGAACCCGATAATTTTCTAAGGAAATAAATATGAAAATACTGCCCATATTATTACGTCACCCTAATAGCAAAGCGATGCAACTCACGACCTTTCCCGTGCCTTCACATCCGGGTCAACGATGGCATTCTTTGTGTATGAATATAAGCTCAGCTTAGGAAGCTCGTGAACAAAAACTAATTCAATTTAAATGCAATATAAGGCGCTTCTAAAGCGACTTTTATGAGAAATGCAACATTAATTTCCTCTAGTGCTTTTTTAGAGAATTTGACTTAGGCTGCATTCTATAATATTTTATTACATAAAAAATATTTTATCATAGAAAGTAGATTTTAAATACTGTCTGTAATTTATACGAGTAGTACACATTTAAATAAAACGCGATATATAAATTAGTTAAACTTCATGTGACCGTGGTCACGGGGAAGCATCGGCTGCTGTAAAGCATCCGAGACGTCGGGCCGTAGTTAAAATAATTTTAACTAAAATATATCGCGTTTTAAACCGATTAAGTGTTTCATTTAAATAATCTTCTTCAAATTCCCTTTTTTAAATTTAATTTAACGCGCGAATAATGAAATTCTCTCAATTAAATATGCCTAGACGTTATTATTTATACTCAACTTTAAAATGTATACGGGTATGGTGGGATCTATATGTGTATTGGATATTAGAAAGCGGTAAAACCGGCAATATTTTGTTTTATGCGCACATCTTCAACGGTTCGTATGTGTTAAATTGCGCAAGCGATTGTGTAAGTCCTTTCACTGGCTCATTAAATTAAGCCAGGCTAGATCTTACGAAGCTGCATTTAGAAAACAATAAAGATGGCTCGAGATAAGGGTAACGAAATAACGTCGATTCCAAAGTAGACGTTGCTTCAGAATACACAAACAGTTTACTGCGCAGACCTCTCTGGCCTTTGTATAACGCGTTGCATTAAAATACAAGAAGACCGGGGCTCGAAAACCAGCGAATATAATAGAACATGTGTAAACTAGTAGGAAAGGGAATTTGTTTAATAGAGCCAAGAAAGAATCAAATCAAAGGTATTCAAGAGTTTGGAAACAAAGTGCACATTTAAATAAAACTCTTTTAACGGTTTAAACTCGAAATATATTAGTAAAATTAGTTTTTATGTAATTAAAAATAAATTAACCAATATATTTACAATTTTAAACCGTTGAGTATTTTTTTAAACAAACTGCACTAAGATTCTATTAAAGGATTTAGTACCTCACATCTTTATGTGTTCAGAATATAAGCAAAGCCATTTTAAAGAAACTCCTAACATGAATTAAGTGTATTCCATAAAGACTACTCAGCGAAGATTAGCTTAAATGAAACTTTAAACCGACGTTTGCCGCTTCCGTTTATTTGCTCGTTTTACACCAACAACGTTTAATTAAAATTGTATAACTTTTCACAGATTGTTAAATATTTTTCTATTTAGAAGTGCAGTGGATATTTTATTAACGCTATAATAAACAGAAGTACAGTTCGTTAATATTTTTATATTATACAAATTTATTCGTGTTAAGTAAAACCATGACCTATTTAGTTTAATTTACGTCAATAATTAATAACGTCAATAATTGGCGCGAGTTAACTGTATTTTAGCAAGTAATCAATCAACAAACAAGGTCGTGGGTTCGATCCCCACCGGGTCAAATATTTTTCTAAACAATTTTTAATTTTTCTGAAACACAGACTTTGTCTGGAAATCTGGATATTATCTAAAGCAAGAATATCGGAATTCCGAATATCCAAAGCCAAAATACGTCGGCAGCGCATCTCGTTTAGATGCTATAGGCTGGGTATTGCACCTACCATCACGTGAACTAATTCTTGTCTATCCTCCTTTAACATTAAAAACATTCTACTTAATTGAGCTTTGGACAAAATGCTTAGTGATATTATTTTTTGGCTTAGAATAAAAACTAGCAAATGATTACGCCCTTTATTAATACAATGTTTTGAATATAATATTTTTACTTGACACGAGTGTGGTTATAACATGTCACGCGTTATCTTCGAACGATACGAAATTGTACTACTCTCCGTGGAGTCATAATAATGTATCACTTTCATTCATTTATTGTTATCACATGGTAGCACAATATGAAAAGTCTATACGTGAATTTTACGCGTTATCAATTCTACAAGCAAACGAAATAAAGTAGTTTGCGTAGGGAAAATTTACTTTTTGAACGTAAAGGTTTTTTTATAAACGTTTTTAAATGAGAGATTAAATATAAGTTTTTTGAAAACTTTAACTTGTATATTGTTATCAGGTGTCATCACATTGACACCTGATAACAATATACAAATTAAAAATCGGTTATAAATTGAAAAAATTAACCGCTCGCGCAGGAATTGAACCGGCATCCATAGCGTTCCGTGCTCTAACCAATCAATCAGGTAGCTCAATTTGTAATCGATTTATAATTTATAAGTTTTTTCTTAAAATCGTAAAATTTCTTCATAAACCCACTCACTTAAAATACTGATTAATATTAAAGTTCATATAGTTTTTCACACGAACTAAGCAATATCTACTATTCCGCACAACATATTAATACCTCGAAATAAAAAAGAAAATACACACCGCGCTCTCATTTAGAAATACTGACACAGTTAGACTATTAAAACGTTTCTATAATTATTTTTAATCTCCGGATACGGTTGATTTAAAGCACTTATATGATAACTATGTTTCAAAATGGCACATACCTTCGTAATTTATGATATACGATGATGTTTGCAGCTCGACGAATAGAAAAGGTGTAGCTTCTGTAATAAAAGAAATAAGTGCTTATTTATATATCAAAGATGGAAGAAGAGAAGATTAGGTTTCAATCATCGGATATTTCATAATACATATAATATTATTCTTTGATTGTATCATATTTATTTCCCCAGGATTCAAAACTAGCTTTGGAGTCGTACAAAAGTGTGAGTTTGACGGGCTCGGCGGTGTAATGGTAGTAATGTATCGCAAAATAGGTCGGTAGCGCATTTTCTTAAAATGTTATGACTGCTTGAACCTCTATCTTAAAAAGGGGCTACTTCATATGTACCGTAGCGAGCTGATGGTGTGTTTAGTAGTTCTGATCGACTCTATCCACGTTACAAATGCCCCTCGGAATACCTTATGCATTTATACCATTAGTTAAAAAAAAGTTCACAATGCGTTACCTATTAAACCACGCAGGAAAACCTCGGCCGATATGAGCGAGAAAAGGTTCTTAGCGTTTCGCCATCACGAGAGGACGGCATCATCATTCTTTGTCAGGAAGAATTAATTCTTTTTCGGGCAATCGAGAGCTAACATCTTTTGATGATGCCGTGAACCTCTTCTCGCTCACGTCGACCGAACAGCCCGACAAACAATGATATGCTGAACGATGGCCGTAAAAGCCTTACACGATTTGTTGTATCACAATGTGTTTAACTTTTTAAATTCAATTTAATATTTACGATTGAAGTTTATTTAAAAAGTACTTTTGATTTTAATAGAGCCTTTCTACCATAATGAGTTTCGATAGTAATACTTGTCAGAGATTATTGTAGCGCCTGATTAAATTATAATAATTTTATCATCAACTTTATTATATATTATCTTTCGATTTTCACGTAAGCCCATTTATTTTATCGGGACGTCGTGATGATAATAGGTTATTATTATTATGTAGATAAATTCATCGTTGTCAATGGTTGTACCGAAAATTGATAGTTTTTCAATGAAATTGATTTTAACACTTTCATTGTATCTATATGTAGGTGAACTAATCCTTGGCAACTGTATTAGTATGCAACGCCGTGTGATGATTCGTAGTTGTATTATAAATGCGAAAGTGGGTTTATTTTTTACCCTACATATTGAAAGCACAATCAACAACATACTGCTCTTCTGATCCTAAGCAACTTATGCAAATCAATACATAACCAATTAATTAATAATTATGATTTTAGGTATTGGCATTTTATTACCCTGGATATTAGTAGCTTAAAAGGCAAAGGTATGGTTTACCGTCATCTAAAGATTAGGTTATTCGTATCAAGATGTGTCTGAATTCATTGTAAAATAATATTAATGGCGCCTCGACAAAGGTCGATTTGTCATATTTTTTTTACAGAATGGTTTGGTAGAAAACTAACTTATTATTTTTACTGTTTACATAGAAGATTTGAATATGTGAGTGGAATAACAGGAGAATTTTATCTATTAAATAACAGAATTCGTAACCGTTAATTCCCCAAACATAAGTTACAATAAAATATGAAAATATGTTTCGAGATGAAGAGAAAGTAATATTTCCTTTATATATGATAGATATTACGCTTAACACATTTCGTCAGCTAGTACAAACACGCAAGAGCACCGTTCGTGATCCCACTCCCCATGGGATTTATAGCTTAGTCGGGAAAAATATTGTCCACATTACGTAGACGTCGTGCGTTGCCCCTATAGGCGTTCATTTCACTTCTCGTGAGTGTTAAATTAGAAAACAACTGTAGGGAAACGTTTGTCAATGGCGACGACGCAAGTAATGACGCTACAAAACAAATGAATTCTCATTTCGATGGAAATACGACACGAGAGTTTAAGTATCTTGTAAGGTGATCCTTGTTTGTTAACGCGTTCAGAACTAGCTCCTACGCGCGGTTTTGCTCCTCTATACGATTGAAAAAATCATATTGAGACCAAAAACAGGTTACTCATCGTTAAGTAACTGTACGTAAAAACAAATAGACTCTAGTTTTTATTTATATAAAAGGTATTTTTCATTAACGGTGTGACGTGTTTTATTATACTAGCTGTGCCCGCGACTGCGTCCAAGTGGATCAGTTATTTTGGGCATCAAAGACAATTTTGTTCACATTTAAATAAATACATACACTTAAACAACACAAACACATTTATTTTGATAAAGATATATTGAAATTGTTAAGTATGTTAATACAATACTAACAAATAATTGGTAATATTGCATTAATTTCGACCACCACGAACTTCAAGAATGCAAAAAAAAAACAATCTCGTTGCGTTTAAACTTACTTATGAGCTACAAAGCTACGTATTAATATTTTAAATTTAAAGTTAAAATTTTAAGACGCAATTCACGGCTCGTAACTTTTTCACTTTGAATCCTCATATTTTTAACTTCCGTTAAGGTTACGAAGACAAATGTTTTGATTATTAATGTAGAACTCATGCTTGTTGAGCTGTGAAAAAAAAATCTAGAAAAAGTCTTATCACCTTTTCTAAATTAGCGTTTAAGTTGTTTACGTTAAAAATTCTCAAAACTTTCGAAAACTATAAAATAATCAGTAGTAAAATCTAAGATTTAAAGCAAACTGACAAACAAACTCTTGAACTTTATATTATTTTTATAGACAATATTGACACAGATAATGATTCTTTTTAGTCTTTATCTTATCTACTAATGCTAAGAGACGTCGAAAGCTCCATCCTATCTATGAATATAAATTTAGTGTTTGAAAGTATACATTCCGATATGTTTTCATCACAAACACTTCCCCATTTCGGGTCACCGAGTCACGACACACTAGTAATGTGGGTCAAGTGTGACAAGTCGATAAAATGACCCTCTTGAAAAAGTAGCTATTTTGCTTTCGAAAAGGTATCACTAACATCAAATGATATCAAATACCATTTTGTACAATAGAAAATATCCTATTTAATCATACGAACCGTAGGTAAAAATAATTCAAATTATTCGTTACATACTTAAAATTTATCTCATTAATAGAAAAATACAATTCTGCTTTGAATAAATAAAAACCGGTAACAAAGGACTCGGAACCTGACTGACCTGCGCTACTGTATCTTGATAATTTATTTTCTAACACAGTCAAAGCTACATCACTTTGTTATCGAAATATATACATAGTTTAAATAAAACACTTTAATGGTTTAAAACGCGATATGACGCGATAAAAACATATGACCCCGGGGAGAGCCCCGTCGCCCTGTGACCACGGCTGCTGCAAAGCATCTGAAACGTCGGGCCGAAGTTAAAAATCATTTTCAAATAAGTTTAACAAATATATCACGTTTTAAACCGTTAAACTGTTTTATTTAAATGCGTACTACTCGCGTAAACTATAGACAGTATTTAACATATTTCCCGTGACTACATTGCATTACTATCCGAAACATCGACGGTAATTAAAATAATTGTCAAATAAGTTTTAATAGTGTTTTATTTAAACGCGTTCTACTCGCGTAAGCTCCAGGCGGTATTTATATACATAGTATCGACGTCGTCAGGGCGCGCTATGCTTTTCGAAAAGATCAAAAGGTTAGAAGGTCGCAGCGAAAGCAATAGCTTTCACAATGACTCGACCATGCCATAATGTCATAGATGAACCGGTGAGAGCTCCAACAATTCTAGCGCAGTGAAAAGAATCGCAGACCGCACTGATGTATCTCATTTGATGAGCTCGGTCAAGCCGCTAGGTCAGCCTTTGAAAGCCACTTCGCTCATCGGCGCATTGAAAATGTGTGATTTTTAAATAGCATACGTTTTCACCATGCCCGTATTATACTGTATGAAATACATAATATTAACAATGCAAAGTGTTGAACTATCTGCATATCCTATTTAAGGTAGGACCTACATATTATGCATAAAACAAACATCAAATCACTGACTAAAAGAGAGAAATGAAATCTTAAAACAAAGGTGCTATTAGATTACCAAAAATAGATAAATACATTTTGAAAAGTAATCGTAAAGGAATATTGAGCAGTTAACGAAACTGGTTATACGATAAGGTGGAAGAGGTCTTTACTAGACGAATATTTGTTCATTAATTTACAATATCACCAGCAGCTCTATTAAACAAATCAATTAAGAATAAAATACCCAATGGATTGTAAAGACGTGTATTAACCAAAATAATTAAATAAAAAAAAACATACAAATAAACGACAATGTAGCTTAGATGTGCAATGAAAAATCAATATAACAGTAATGTCTGGCTCAAGTACAGATTAGGTGAATGTAGATTTCACACACATATAATAACAAAAATGTTCACTCAAACATTTTACGAAAGTCACACTGACACGGAACCATCAGTATTATTATCTAATCGAATTGATAATACAATTTCTTTATCGTGAACATCGAAATGTAATTTACGATAAAATAATGCAAAGGAAAGTAGGCTAGTCGTAACATCCGAATCGTTGTAAACATCGACATATTTCTATATCCTAGGACCGGTACAGTGACCCACCAAGCTACTAATATACCTCACTAGGGTTACCGAGCTGTTACAAAGATTAGTGATGATAACCCGGAACCAACAGCTTTTCTTAAGTATTACAAATCCTTCCTCGATTCCTCAGCTTTGTAGACTGACAGTCGAGTGTAATGTACAAGATGACTATTAGACAAACGAGGCAGTGAGTAACAAAATACATGTAAGTTTGTGCAATCCTGGGAATATATAGAAACTTTTTGTATTTTACAGAGCTGACTACGTTTTGGGCAAACTCGGCTGAGATAATCGAATGATTACTGTTAGCGTATGCATTTACGAAATGCCTACAATAATTCCGAACAAAAGATCAAATATGGCACAATGTATTCATCATAACTCGACCGCAATGAGAACATCCCGCCTGTTCGCTATTCGATTACTCAATTGGAGATGATTGCAGAAATAAATTTGTGAATCACAATCAATGTGAAATGTCATCGGGTCATACCTAGCACTTGGAGACACCGAATATTAAAACCGTTTTTATCAATCAT